CTTTCATGAATTTCTATAAATACCAAGGTGGTTGCAGGAATTTGCTAAGTCAAAACCATGTGAGCAGAAAGCAGAGGAACAGAGCCCGCCCACCCACAGTATTGCAACTGTGCTATAAGCAGCCTGCTCTACAGCTTTCTCGCCAACTGAGGTCCTCCAGATGCTGACACACTCCAAAGCCCATCATTCTCTGACCATCAGCCACGATGGTCAAGACAGAGCAGAGGGGGCAAAGGATTGCGTTTTGGTGCTTCCAGAGCAATGTGCAAAAGGGCAAACTTACACATTAACCCTGCAGTGAGGCGTGCAAACTCCAGGTGCAGAAACAGCTGTGCCTGACTCTGACCTCACAGGCAGGACTTTCCGCAGTTCTACCCCTCCTCCCCAAACTCCTCAAGCTGCTAGCTATTATGGATTCCCAAAGGTTTGAAGAGGGAGAAGAAAAATCATCAATGCAATCTCAAGTATCTGGGCAAGATCTTTCAAGATCCCTTTTTGCAACCCATAATTTACAGAGGGTTTTAGGAATGCTGAAAGCTCTTTGCGTGTAAAAGCTCAGGTAATAAAAATTGTGAGAAAACCTGAAGCTGTAGCTTTAATTTTTCAGGGTTCCCTCTCCATTTTGTTTCTGAAAATATTAGGGGTGGGAGGCCATGACATATTTATGCAGACCCAGTGAGCAATTTGGCCGCTGAATTCTGCACTAGCTGAAGTTTCCAAACTGTTTTCAGAGGCAGCCCCACGTATAACGAATTGCAGTAATCTAGCCTACAGGTTACCAGAGCATAAACAAAAGAAGTTAGGCGATTCCTGCCCAGACAAGGGCACAGCTGGGCCACCAGCCAAAGCTGACAGAAGGAATTCCATGCCACAGAGTCCACCTCAAGTGACAGCAAAGGATCCAGGAGTACCCCCAAGCTACAGACCTGCTCCTTCAGAGGAAGTGTAACCCCATCAAGAGCAGGCAACCTCCCAGCCATTCAGTCCATTACCAAGGCAAGACAACGGTCCAGCACATCCACTGCCTCACCCTGCAGGTGTAAAAAAGGAGAGCTCTGTGCCGTCCGTATATTGCTGACAACGTACTCCAAAACTCCGGATGACCCCACTCAGCAGTTTCACATAGATGTTAAACAGCACAGGGGATAAAACTGAATGCTGAGGAACCCCACGTTGACGGCTCCCTTTAACCCTGGAGAGCCGCTGCCAGTCAGTGCAGACAGTAGTGTGGTAGATGGAACAATTGGTCTGAACTTGGCATTAGGCAGCTTCCTATGTTCCTCTATATCAGACATATGTAGATATGCTCTCAAACCTTCTGTTGCTTTAAGAAAGGCCCCCACCCCCAGTTATGTACTTCTCAGGGCAAAGCAGATCGTGGAGTCGGTTTGAGGCCAGTTATGGTTTTCCAGGAAGCTTCCATCTGCTGTGTATTTACACAACAGAAGGGAGTAGGAAAGAACTGGCAGAGAGTGAGGAATTGAGAACGATCTGAAGAAAAGAAGGCGGGGGTGGGAGGCAGAGAAGTAGGAGAGAGGTTAAGGCATCAACCTCCAAAAAGAAGAATCCATGTGCTGGCTTTTAAGCAATCTGAGCCATTTGAACACAGAAGCTGCAGCCTCAAGGGCCAAACGTCCTTCTTGAGAACATTCTGAGGACCACGGTGGCGTGTGAAGCAATGGGTGTATGCTCCCAACTGCTCCAGATTTTTTCCCGGGAGGCAAATTAAGGTCCCGTTGTTTCACCTTCAAAATCCCTAAATGATAATTGGGGTTGGGGGCCAAGCACACAGGCCAGTCACTCTCACATCAGTTCTCCCTTTGCACAGCTGGAAGCAAAATAGGAAGGGGGTGTCTTTGCATTACATCTGAACTCAGGATCATGGTTCGTTTCTCCCTGATAAGCCAAGATCACCAGCCAGCTTGGTGTTGGCTTATGAATCTTGTTTTGTTCGCGGGGAAACAGACAACAATCCCATCATGCTAAACCAGCCTTCCCCGACTTGGGGATGTTGGTAGACTAGAACTCCCATCGTCCCTGAGCACTGGGAATGCTGCATTGGGCTGAATGAGCTCAAGCCCAACACCTGCAAGGTGGGAGGTCGAGCTAAGCTACCTCCTTCGTGGTTTGTTTACCCGAATGCATAAACCTGGAAGAACTGGGCTGAGAGAACTGTACGTTTAGATTATTTGAGGAAGGGCAATTACTCAGCAGAAGAGCATCTGCTTCACATGCAGGTTCAACCTCCAGCATCTCCAAGTATGTCTCAGAATGTCCCACCTGTGGAACCCTGGAGAGCTGCTGCCAGTCAGTGCGGAGAATGCTGAGCTAGATGGACCAATGGTCTGATTCGTTTTAACAGAGTTTCCTATGTTCCTAGCTTATAGCTACGCAGCCACTGAGGCCAGGAAGCCACATGTCTTTTGCCATTTAAGCTGTTAGGAGCATGTGACTGTGGGGTGAGGCCCTCTCATCTGTGGCACCCGGGATATGGGTGCCCTTGCCCTAGAAGCCTCAACTGGCCTTCTTCCTTTTGAACATTATGACATCAGGCCAAAACAGTACTTTCTAAAAGGATGCTCTGCGATTAGATTTGGACTTGGCTGCTGATGCAGTATCGCTGCTGCTCACGATTTGGCAGCCTGGAAATCAAACAGCTACTTTTGTCTTGTTGGCATTTCATGGCGGTTCTTGGCTGCCCTTGAGGCTCCCGGTCAGGATCCAAGTATCTAAGTGATGGAATGGACTGCAGAATGCAGATAACTATTAACTGCTGGAGATGCGGCTTCCTGCTGACCAAATATTGCCATTTATTTATTGCATTGCATTTTTATCCCACCTTTCGATACAAGGAGCCTGAGGTAGCATCCCCTTGTCATCCTCACAGCTACCCTGTGAAGTGGGTTAGGCTGAGAGGCAGAGATTGGCCAAAGGTGCCCCAGGGAGCTTCATGGATAAGTGAGGAATTGAACTCTGGCCTTCCAGGTCCAACACTCTTAACCGCTACACAACACTGGTTCTCTCTTTGTTTCGAGAGGAGTCCAGAGTTTCTTTTAAAAAAGAAAGCCATACAAAGTAAGTAAACTGTCAGCTTGCTGCCTTGCAAAAGAACTTTAAACACAAATTCACAGAACAAATTATGACATATTATGAACTCTACTCCTTTTTTCTGAAAAAGCCCTTCTAAATTATTGTGCAAAAAAAAAAAACTTTCGGCGGGGGAAAACGGGGAAATGATGACACTCCAAAATGCCTACAATTAAAGACAAGGCAAATGAAACACGGAAAATATAACAGCAGGCTGAGCAAAACTGTAAAATTGAGAGATTTAAAACAAAACTTGAAAGGAAAGGGTGCAAAAAGTTTACAAGCATTTTTTTTTAAAAAAAAAAAGCGAAAACAACCACCAACATTAAAGTTTCTGAACTTTCGGGAATCTCCAGGTTTTTGTTTTAATATAAATATTTGTCTTTTTTCAAAAAGAAAACTTGTTTTAAAAAGAAAGGAAGAAGCAGCAGTATAAACTGGGACTTGCGTCTTGAAGTTTCTTATAGCTAGGTATAAAGAAAGGAGGTTGCAAATTCATAAAGGATAGTCAACTGAGAGCACTTAAAATACACAACTGAAGCTACATGGTAAGAGGCAGTATACCTCTAAGAATTAAATGCTGGAGTCAAGCAGTAGGGGTTGCAATCACTCTGTATTCCCTGCTCATGAGTTTCCCATAGGCATCCATTATACACACACATACCAAGAACAAGGTAGAGCTGTTTGCCTTTATTCACATTCTCAAGTTACGATAAACTAGGGTTGCTCATGCCCACAGCTCAGTCACTCCCATGTCATTCCTCCCCTGTCACAAACAGGGTAGCTCGATCTGCAAGTGCTTGGGATTAAATCTGGGATCTCCTGCATGCAAAGCATGTTCTCCGGGAGCACTAAGCTAAGGCACGAGAACAATACTATACACTTAAGCCATTTCCACTGCAGGGAAACAAGTATTACACGAGGATTTGCAATGCACAAGACTTCAGTCTCTGATAGCCCAGAGGGTTGCAACAGCAATGCAGCATCCCAGCAGGTGGTCAGGAAAACTTGCACCAAAGGACCGCTTCCAAGAAACAATTCCGTTTTTTAAAAGTGGTACAAGGTAAGCTCTAAAAACGTCCAGGACACTTCCAATTTGACCTTGTAACATCACCTTTCTAAGCCAACTCTTTTCTACCAAAGGAGGAAAAAAAGAAATCCTTTTCTCAAATTAGTTGGTAGGCGGTTCAACCCAAATACACATTTGGAAACAGGTTGCAATGAGAGATCTTGATGCAGAATACCACCACCACCAATCCATGCATATCTGAAATGTGTTATTTCTAAAGATGGATCAGAGGCTGAACAGTAAGGGCCCCGCAGGATCAGAAGTGTTTGACAAATCCAATGTACTGTTTCCAATAGGGGACAGCCTATTAAGGACACAAGCTGCAGACAAACCTAAATGCACCACTGTCAGCAATTACAGTTAAATAAAGCCTCCAGTTACAGAAGCAATCTATTTGTATGTACCAGGTAAAAGCAAGAGAGGGACAGTGCACCGCCTATGAGCAACCTGGGGCACCTTGCTGGGCACAGAAGAGTGGGCTGGATGGGTGCAGACAGATGACTTTAGGCTCTGGACTAGACGGACTCTTTAGAGCAGGCTTCACCACCCAGATGCCCTCTGTATAACTCCTATCAGCCCCAAGCCACAAAGCCATGGTCTCTGCGGCTGAAGGAAGGTGTAGTCCAAAGCGCATGGGGGGGGGGCCACCAGGTTGGCCAAGGCTGCCCTATCACCACCCCTGCCTATCAGCTCAGACTCAATAGGCCCACCCAGTCCAACACTCCCTATCCCAGGGCAAGGTACCCCAGGGTTTATTGCCTCCCAGCATGCAGGTTGCAGATAACCATTCATATTAACAGTCAGCAACAGACATCTCCTCCTCCTCCAAAAACTTGCCCATTACCATCTGAGAAGCCTGGTCAGTTGTATGCTGAACACATCAAGATTCCGGACAAGAAAAGAAAGTTCTTCTTTATGCAGCATATAGCTAAAATACAGAGCTCTCTCTCGCAGAAGGAAGAGGTGGCCACACACTGCTTTAGAAGACAATTAGGAAAATTCATAGGTGATTAGGTTATCAGTGGCCAGGCAGCAACACTTCTGAGTATCAGTTGCTGAAAACTGCAGGAATGTGCACTGCTCTAGTGCTCAGGTCCTGCTTGTGGGAGTTTCCGAGAAGCATCTTGCTGGCAGCTGTCAGAGCAGGCTGCTGCATTAGCTGGGCCATGGGCCTGATCCAGCAGCGTTCTTATTATGTTCTTAAGGCAAGTTGGCTCTGCACTGCTCCAGTGCCGGAGGCAGTTTTGCCTCTGAATCCTAGTAGCTGAGATTCACCAGTGAGGAGCATGCTGTTGCACACACAATCCTGCTTGCAACCATCCTGGGGGCATGTGGCAAACCACTGTGGGAAGAGGACCTGATCCAGCAAGGGCTCTTCTTGTTTTCAGTTCTTAAGCAGCAGAAACAGGCTGAAGCCCTTCAAACAGCACGTGGCCAAAAATCGCATTTCGGAATGCCATTGAAACTCCCTGCTGATAGAAACCTAGAATCATGAGCTGCACTGCAACCTTTCACCCTGATGAGCTAATCTTCTATTTGCAGAGCACTGCTTTTCTCTCCCCCTTAATGCAGAGGTTCAGTCAAATTTGTATTCCCCCGTGTAGTGTGAGGATACACAGTCTCATGGAATCATATAGAGTTTTAGAGTTGGAAGAGATCCTGAGGATCATCTAGTCCAACCCCCTGAAATGCAGGAATATGCAGCCGTCCCATACAGGGACCTTGGCGTTATCAGCACCATGCTCTAACCAACTGAGTTGTCTCCTGGGTTGAGCTATTCTCCCAACCCAGTGTGGTCACAGCGTTGCGTCAAGGACGCAGGTTCAAATCCATTCTCAGCCATGTAGCCCAATGGGTAGCCTTGGGCTGTTTTGAAGTCTCTCAGCCTGGCCTGCTTCACAGGGCTGATCTGAGGCTAAAATGGGGATGTGGAAATCCTCAGAGGGAAGGTGGGATATACAAACGCCACAATAAATATATTTCAGCTGTGAAGTGTGGGCCTCAACCTTAGGCAGTGGTCATCACCAGTGCAGTGGTTAGAGTCCTTGGCCAGAGCCCAGGAGACCAGGGTTCAAATCTCCACTCAGCCATGAATCTTACTGGGTGACCTTGGAGTCAGTCACTCACTCTCAGTCTGCCCTACCCCACAGGGCTGTTGTGGGGAGAAGCACCTTGAAGGGAAGGTGGAATTTAAATGTAAAAACTAACTAAATGAATCTTGGGGCAGGGAATTAGTTCATCCTCCAGCTTGTCCTGAATCTGCTCCCCATTCCTTGGCTGACCCCTTCTTCCCATGCCTTCTTGAGTTCTATTGCCAAGAGGAAAGGAGAAACATGTTCCTTTAAAAAAAATAAAAGGGGAAGCCCTAGGGATTCAAAGCCAATCTGCAAATCCTCTGCATGTGCTTCCCCTACTTAGAAAGAACAAAAGGATGAAAAGTGATCAAAGCGGCCAATCAAACGCCATCTTTCCACCCACCCTTTGTGCAACGGGTACCCTGGGGAGACGGTTCCTTTACCTGTGAGTCTCAGCCAACTTGCTGAGCTTTATAAATAACACTCGGGAAGCAGCAGTGTGGCGGCGGCGGCAGATTGCGAAAACAACACGGTGGCTAGATTGAAGGTGCGGGGGGGGGGAGAGTTGATGCTTTAGGCCTTGGGATAGTCGTGAGAACGGATGACTTCGCTTGGGTGCACTTGGGGAACTAGAGGGGAGCAAAAGACCGGTCACCCCCACCCCCATCATTCCGCAAGCATCTGCAGGCGTGCAAGCATTCGGGCACACAGCGGGGAGGGGAAGAACTGAGCATCCATCTCGTACGGACCTCCCCACCCACCTCCAAAATTAGGGTGGCACAGAGGTACTTACGAAGCGATTGATCTGCCTGCGAAGCATAGCTGGACTGCCGCAGCGCCTTGGAGAGAGGGGGGCAGTGGGGTGGTAGTGGGGTAGTCCTGGTCTCTTAGAGCCGACTGGCACAAGCACTTAGCCCCTCTGCACGGGTCCCCAAGCCTCGGGGTCAGTGGGGACGCTGCGGCGAGCGGAGAGGCGCCCCCAGCCCCCGCTCGCCGTCCCCCCAGCCCCGCGGTCACCGGCGCGCCGCTCTGCCGCTCAGCCGCATCGCTCCTCTTCCAGTCGTGGCACCAACCGCAGCAACAGCCCACGGCGGGGCTCTCCCTCTCTTCCTCCCAGAGAGCAGCCCCAGATATGGGGGCGAGTCCCTAGCTTCGCCAACACTCCTCGGCTCTGTCAGGCTGGCCGGAGGCAAGATCTGGGCAGCATGCCGCGCTTTGGTGATAATAATAATAAAAAGGAGGCTGCAGGGGAACAATAGCCAAGGCAGGCAGGCCGGCTGCCAGGAAGGGGGAAGCTGCGGCGGGAAACCCAGACTGCTGGATGCAACCTCCTCTTCCCCTGCAGCGGAGGCGGAGGCAGCAACAGTCCTCCCCGCCCCCGAGGCCCGAGAGCGGCGGGAGACCGAAAAACCGAGGCGCAGCGCTACGCTCACGACTTCTCCAAGCGCAGAGCGCTCCCCGCGCGCCCGCCTCTCCCAAGCGCACGTGGCACGCTGCCTCGCCGATGCCCGCGGAGACCCAAACCACCAGCCCAGCGGCCCTTCCTGCTTCCCTGCCCCGCCACGGGCTACTTTCTGGCTTTCGCCTGGAGGCTCCACTTCTTCTATTTCTCCTCCCACCCCTCCGCCCCGCTCTGTTTTCGCAGCCGCCCCAGGGGCGGAACCTTCGGCTTCTCTCCACCCATTGGGTCCCGAGAGCAGCTTGGGAGGTGTAGTATATTTGCCCGATGTCCGGGATGGTAGGAGAAGGGAGAGCGAGGCTAGCGAGCGCCGGCCTGTTGCTCCTCCTCGTCCTCGGCCCGCCGCAGTAAGGGGAAGTTGGCTTGGAGGTTGGCTAGGCCTCTCGGGCGCACCCCAAACAAAACATGACTGGCGAGTCACCGTTGCGCCCAACTCAGCAGCAGACTGACGGGCCGTGAGCTCGCTAGCATTTCAGACAGGGAACATACCCAGCCCTATCTAGAGGAGCCTGGGATCTTCTGATTGCAAAGCAATAAGCGACCGCCTTTTTATTGCTGCTGAGGCGCAAATTGGTATGGTTTCGCCCCCGAACTCACCGAATCAACTTTTAAGAGTTTCTGCACCTTTTCCCGCGAACGGAGTGACTTGTTTTTAACGGGCTTAGGCATGCGCATCAAAAGCACAAATATATTTCCTTGCAAAAAGGATGGCAGTTTGATCTCTGCCTAATGGCACCATCAAAATCAATGCTATTAAAATACACAGTATCCCTTTATTTAATTGTTGCATTTATGTTCTACATTTCCACCAAGGAACCCAAGACAGCATACATACACTGAGTGTTTATTAAATTTGTATACCGCTTAATAAGTTTAATGATTCTCTCATGGGTTTGTGTGTGTGTGTGTGTGTGTGTGTGTGTGTGTGTGAATGTCTTTAAAAATACACATCATTGCCTTTATTTAACTGTTGCATACCTATTCTGCCTTTCCACCAAAGAACCCTAACGAAACAAAATTACCTAAGTGGTGAACAACATCAGAGTAACATAAAACAACATACAATTCAGAACTACACCAGGTGGTCATGCTTTGGGGGGAGCTTGAATTTCAGAAGTTGCACGGTCCCTCCAACCTGTGCCGCCACACTGCATTTTAACCACGCAATACCATAGGGGAGGGAGGCGATCAGGGGGGAGTCAACCATGTCAGAGTGAAGGTTTGAACTTGTGTCTCGCCAACCCTACAATGAGACTTTTAGTTTCGAATGTATTTAAGGATGGGCCTTGCTAAAACTCGCACATAAGCATGCTCAATTTGCCAGGATAAAGAACCACCAACCCACCAGATGTTGCGCTCCCAACTCCCATCATCCTAGTGACCATTCTGGCTGGGACTCATGGGACGTTGAGTCGGAACAAAATCTGGAGGGGTGCAGGCTCCCCAGCCCTGCAGTAAAGCGTCACACCAACAGAAACATAGCTCCTGCCATTCCTCTCAGCATAAATTCCTGTAGCACATGTTCCTCATTTCTGCTTCAGGAACCCAGGAAGAGAGAGTGCTTTCTGGTCCTGCTTGCAGTCTTCCCATTCAGGCACTTGACTGGCCACTGGGAGAATAGGATGTTGGATAGGATGGGCCATTGGTCTGATCCAGCTGTGCTCATGTTCTTAATACCAATCACTGAGAATAACAAGTAGGGAGGGCGCTGTTGCACTCGGTCCTGCTTCTGGGTTTCTCACATCTGATTGGCCACTGTGAGTAACCAAACAAACCCCTGTGTTGCAAAGAGAACGTCAGCAACGTCTAGGCAATGTCATCGTATTTCGAATGAATGTACGTAAATGAAAATATCAAATGCTGTGGAATGTTCCACAGCATTTGATATTTTCATTTACAAACCCATAAGATGGGTTTATGAAGCAATTCTATATCCTCCCACCACGCTGACGAAGAATTCTACGAAACAGTGGTCAATATCCGGAATCACTGTTCAGTGTTGGACATCATGTTTGCTGAATACACAAAGCTTCACAGCTTATCTTACATCGTACAAAGTCTGGTACCTCGCTTCATTTAAAGATTTTCAGAGACTTTGAGACTAAAGATTTCATTTTGTACTTGTTATGGTTTGAAGAAATTCTATAAAGATTGTTTATTGTGTTTGTACATGGTCATTGTGTTGCCTAGACCTTGTTGATGGCCACTGTGAGAACAGGATACTGAACTAGATGGGACCCCTGATCGATCGGGTTCCTTTCATGTTCATGTGTTACAGAAAATGGAGAACACTTCCCCTCTTTCTCATAACATTGGAGCCTTAGGTCACCGGCTAGATTGGTGACTCGGAGTGGCGACCGAGACCATACAACACCGGTCCTAAAAGACCTACATTGGCTCCCAAAACGTTTCCAAGCACAATTCAAAGTGTTGGTGCTGACCTTTAAAGTCCTAAATGGCCTCGGTCCAGTATACCTGAAGGAGTGTCTCCACCCCCATCGTTCAGCGTGGACACTGAGGTCCAGCTCCGAGGGCCTTCTGGTGGTTCCCTCACTGCGAGAAGGAAAGCTACAGGGAACCAGGCAGAGGGCCTTCTCGGTAGTCACACCTGCCCTATGGAACGCCCTCTTATCAGATGTCAAAAAGATAAACAACTACCTGACTTTTAGAAGACATCTGAAGGCAGCCCTGTTTAGGGAAGTTTTTAATGTTTGATGTTTTATTGCATTTTTAATATTCTGTTGGGAGCCGCCCAGAGTGGCTGGGGAAACCCAGACAGATGGGCAGGGTATAAATAATAAATAATAAATGATGATGATGATGATGATGTAGCTGGTGGTCAGTAGATTCAAGAAGAACAAAATGAACTCCTTCACACAATTAAACTTGTGAAACTAACTGCCATAAGATGGAGCAATGGCCACTTAGGTAACTTTCAAAGAATAATAGAATCAATGATGCGTAGGGTTGGAGGGGTTTCCATAGGCACCCAGCACAGGCCCCTACCATGCAGGAATATCAGCTAAAGCATCCATGACAAATGACCATCCAACCTCTGTATAGAACAGGGGTCCCCAAACTAAGGCCTGCGGGCTGGATAAGGCCCGAAGGACTCGTTTATCCGGCCCGCAGCGACCCTCGCCGCCTGCTGCCGCCGCCTGCTCTTACTGGTGCTGCGCTGCACGGCTGTCCACCTCCGGGTCAGAGGAGCACCAGAAATAGCTTGTGCGCATGCGCAAGCATTATTTGCACATGCACATGCATTATTTCCGGTGCACATCCGGGTTGGAGGAGGCCCGTGCACATGCGCACAAACTATTTCTGGTGCTCCTCCGACCCAGAAGAGCGCCAGAAATATCATGTGCACACACGTATGGGCATACTCTCCCCCGCCCTCCGGGTGATCGGCACTGGAGACACCGGCCCGAGGCACGGTAAGTTTGCTGACCCCTGGTATAGAAACTTCCAGTGAAGGAAAGCCCACTGCCTCCAAAGGGAGATAAACAAATTCATGAAGGAGATGACTTCTATCATTGGCTACCACAGTAGCCGAATAAAACCTCCACATTGAGAAACAGTCTATAGCTGGTGGAGGCAACAGTTAAAGGGGGGGGGCAATTGTCACCATGCGCCACCCGGGGACTTCATTGTAAACTTATGGTTACCCACTGTTGAGAAGAAAGGTGCTGGACAAGGTAGATATTTTCTCCTATATTCAATTAAATAAGCAGTGAGATTTCAGAAATTCTAAGAATGTCACCCTAAGACAAATAACCAGCAAATAAATCCTCTTGGACCTCTTCTGACCAAACTTCAGATTAGGTTGCTTTAAAAAACCTTTTTCTCAGTTCAACGGAGGCTGCCTCCACCTAGTGGCCACCAGAGGCAACGGGTGTGATCACTCAGCGTGCTCTGATGACAGAATTAGTAACTAGGCGCTCCACCAGACAACCTGTTTATTGAGCATCCATCATGATTTGCTTGCACAAAGCTTATGTGGAGGTTAGACTATGCCCTGTCTTTATCAAGCATTTGCTCTGATTTATTTGTGGGGAGGTTATACAACAATAAGTCATAGTGATTTGTTCCTTGCATATTATAAATCTCATTTGTTCATCTCACCTTTTTTTGTTTACATTCCCCTGTCATTTTCCTACCTGCAAAAAGCAAAATAAATAAATACATAGTTTTGTTGTACTAAGGCACCTGAGCCCCTTAATCCACTTTAATTACACAAACCTAAATTTCAGTGTGCACTGAACTGCAGCTACTAACGACCGTTCTAATTTACTAATTTATCTGTTGTCGATGTTTGTTTCTTGCCTTTCCTCCAAGGCACGTTCTATTTTATATGCATTGATGTGAACTGGAAAAAAAAATATTACTGTAATTTATATAGAAATGCAGTACATGCCACCCTAGCAAGGAAGACTGTGATCAGA